CGACCCTGCCACTGTGCCACATTGTCATTGACATTTGGCTCCCTTAGCATTTGGCCAGAGATATTAGTCTTGAATAAAAGATGAACCCAGCCCAGTTCCTTCAGCCATGGTCAAAGACTTATTTGGAGCCTGGTCTTGCTGCTTCAAGCACTATTGTTTTAAATAGAAAGAAAAATATGGAGGATTTACTGGAAGCACTAGTATGCTATCATGTCCACCTTAAAGATGGTATGAACATCTGGAGCGACTGGTCTTCACAGCAGAAAACTACTTTGACTATAAACAATTATACTGATTTAGCATTGTTTATTAGTTACAAATATAATCTAGTGTTTTTTACTGTGACCACTGGAGGGTAGTGAATATTCCTGATCCTATATACAGTCAGGTCCACAATGCAATACTTCTACAAAAAAATATTAATAATAAATAAATAAAACAATTAAAAGAAACGTAGAAAAGTAGTGTTATTGTTATTCTGTCCACTGCTAAGTGGAGATCCAAAGTGCCAAATGGAGGTGTACAAATCATTCACAAAGGTAGTTGTTATTGCAGGGTTGTTTTTTCAAATGCAATGCTTTGCTGTCAAAGAAAGTGAAATTCTTCACAGCTTTGATGTGCACTGCCTATATGTAAGAGACACGTCCAGCTGTGGACTGCAGCAACTTCACGCAAGAGCACATAGAAATATATCAACATTTTAGGCTGGGTCTTATTTAGTTGTTTGTGTATTTCCCCAGGAGGTGTTAAGCCTATCTTAGCTCAAACCCTGGAAGTAGAGGGAAACTGCCAGCCTATATATATTAAAAAACACATTATCCAACAGCTCCACAAGGGTGTTGTTTACATGTTGCATTTTGTTAGCAAGCAAATAGCCATCATATTCAAGAACCAGTTCAGATTAACTTATTTACATTAAATGACTATATAAGTCTTCCAAGTTTGTGTCTACCGCCTACAGATGCCATACAAACTTTAATCCACATTGCTATGCCACGTGAATCGAGTACAAGAGTAGATGTGAAGCGAGTGACTAACATGAAAGAAATAGAGGCAGGTTTGGATATTATAGGGTTTTTATTACAGTAAAGCACAGCACTCCAGAGGCAGTTTCAAGCCTTGTTTGCAGTATACAGAGGGGATGTTGACAACAGGGAGTCACTGTTTGTTCAGTCTTTCACAGAGAAATAATGGCCCTCAGTAGTGCAGCATGATATCTTTATTTATATGCCTGAGCCTGTTTACTCATCAATTATCACTTCCTCAAAACTGGGGTCTGATCTGTTTGTGATTTTACTCTGGAATAATATTTCCCTCCCAGTGTCTTTCTCAGCCAAATCTTTCTGATAAACTGTGATGTTTCATTTTGTTTTTTTGTTTCTAGTTGTATTCATTTTGTGGACAGGTGCGCTGGTGGCAACAAAGCCATTACAGATCCAGTATGGTTTATTATAATTCATAGTATTTTTCATAGCTCAGTTATCAAGTGTTATGCATGAATAAATGGTCAAAATCTTCCCTCTGGAAGCTTAAATGCACTCACTTGTTATCCTCTCTCCAATTCAAATGATAATGTCTAGACCGCATGCACTGCATTGATCCATTTTTGCTGTCTGTTGCGTCATTGCTTGTATGTCCTTATCCTGCGATGAAAAGATAATAGGAGACTTTGGTAATAGGTGACAAGTGGCATCATCTGGAATCAATGATTGTATCTGTGAAATGACCCATGGGGGAGGTGCGCTATAAACAGCTGAATGATCTAATTACAAGCTATGGTTCATCAACAGTAATCATAGCATATGGAGAGAATCACTCAGGAGCAAGCCGTCAAATTTTATCCTGCAGAGGCTTGCTTAGACTTGTTGTGGGAGGATGAAGGATTGCCAAGTTGAACAATAACCTTCTATTACAAAGGCCAAACGTCTATGCCAATATGTAATTTGGCACAGACGATGGATTGTAATTTGAAATCACCTCACACAGACGTTCACAGAATTTAAAGGTTTGAGCTGTTTTCAAAGACAAGCAATAATGACGAGCAGTGGACCTAGCTAAGCGAGATGTGAATGATGGGGAACCTTGAGAGTTGAATTATGCATGAAGCAGGTAATTATCCACATGCAAAATGTTCCCCAGTAACATTTTGCCCCTTCAGCACTATGTTGAAGAGCACCAGTGATGCAAATTCAACCCACCCAACCTTTTTCCATTAATCTCAAAATAGCAGAGGGCTCAGCCGGACCTTTCTCTAAACGTCTTTAAATGTTCCTTTAAATCTGTCCGTCCTCCACTCCCCAAAGGTGGAACTTACTGTCTTATTAAAGAACCTCCGCGCCACCAAACCTCTCTGACCTCATTAAATCCGAAGCATATCAAATCGCAAATGGGATTTCGCATTTATTTCAAGGCAACACAATAAACTAGAGGACAAAAGACACACAAACTTCTCATTACTCACTCCACCTGCTCACACACAAAAAAATGTTTAGCTAAATGCTGTACAAAATTATTTAAAAAAATCAGATGCAAATTTAATCACAGCAGTGTTGTATACTTTACATTAAACCCTGTCTCAGTAAAAAGTTAAAACAAAGTTCAGTTTATATCACCTAAAATAAAGTTCAGAATAGAGCTCAGAGAGAGTTCAGTTATTTAGACCAAAACTATCACGTCTATAAGTGTTTTCCTTCTTTTGTTTGTACTTTTATTGTGCTTCTTATTGTGCTTTTCCTCTTAAACACTGTTCATATAAACTAACAACTGCATGAAGGGAACATGAATTTTTATGGAGAAAATTCCATGATGAAATACATTTGACTTTTTTTTTGAAAATTAAATCTGAATAGAAAGCCATTTTCGAATAAAATGTAGTCTTGACCCTTTTAACACAGCCTTTTAACATCCTTTGTGAACGTGAGTGACTTATTGCATGGGTTTGCAGTGTGATGGGGTGGTAGCTGAGTGAAATGCAGATCTTTTATTTATAAGCACCTGGGTGTTTGAACATGGTCATGCAATGCTAATCACGTGGGCCTGTAGAGGGCCATGCATCATTCTGATGGATGTGGAGTTGACTGGGTGAAGGCTTGGAGCTCCAGAGTTTGGATGAGGTTTGACTAGAGGAGAAGGGAGAAGGTGGAGGACAATGGAAGTTATGGTTCTGGAAAAAAAGTTATTTTCTTCATTTTTTCATATTTTTTGATTCATAAAAAATATCTTTAAAAATGAAATATATTTCTCATTATATAGGGCTGCAACTAATTATTATTTTCATTATTGATGCTGATGATTGTTGTTTTAGGAATGATTTGGTCTATAAAAAGGCAAAGCTGGCATACTGAAGCTTGTTTTGTCTTACAAATAGTAATACATTAAATATTTCAATTTAAATCAGCAAGAAGGAACTTTCATTTTGCGTTGATTCTGGTGCCCCCTGTGGATAAAAGCGGTAATGTTTCAACTGCCTTGTTTCATGTGTCGAAAAAAAATCTTTTTTTCTTTTCTTATGTAGGCCCTACAGAGGCATCAGTATTAAACTGAAACAGTTTCATAACTAGTTAAAAACTTAGGTAGGTTTAAGAAGCTCAAATCTGTTGTAATTTTTCGAGAAAAGACTATTATTGATTATCAATAGTTCCTGCTTAGTTTTTTGTTGATCAACTAAATGACTAATTGATTATTCAACTAATCATTTCAACTCTAAAATACATTAAAGTCAGTTTGACTAAGACTAAGAGTCTACAGTCTTGCTATCAGCGCTGTGAGGCTGTGTTTTGGCACTTTGAGCTTAAGTACAGCTGAGGTTGATGTAAATGTCATTAGTTTTGCCTCGTAATTGGTCAAAAACCAGAGTACTGTGCAAATTAAAATTTTGACCTGATGATGGCCCTATAGAGGTAAAGATAAGGGATCAAAGTTATTTCAAGTTGTTGAGACATTTCCTTTATAACCACTAATGTGAACATCATGGTGGCACGAGAGGAAAAGGCAGGTATCACCCAAATCAGTAGGATTCATCTTCTACAGAAAATGAATGTCAGTGCAAAATTTAATGGAAGTCCTTCTGATAGCTGATATTTCAAAAGTTATCATTAAAGTTATCATACTAAGAAATGTTCATGTCAACACATACATCCTATTTATAATAAAGATTCCAATCGACACATGCAGCATATGCTCTGATATTCACAGGCAGAAGTGTCAACACATTGCTTATCTCATCTCCTGTTATTTAACATGACCTTTGGCTGGAGGTGAACCCAGTGAAATCCCTCTGCAAACACAGAGTCATCACCAGAATTAATTGCAGAGGAGCTGTCAGAGGGGAAACTGCTCTGGAGAAGGACTACCAACATAAGGTGCATTGATCACCAGCCAGTCAGAAATCCAATGTGGAGTAATTCACTATGGGTACAATTAAGCTTTGTGCTGAGATGAGGGATATTATTTCAGCAGGAGGGGTTTGCAGGTGTCTGTTTGAGCTGATTAAATGCTCACTAACAGTGAATAGATGGCTCAGGTGCTGTCAGAGCTCATACAGTCAGAGGTGCTGTTTGTTCCCTCGTAAAGCTTTATCTTTCCCCTGAGTACAGACTGTAGTTAAAGCAGGATGGAGCGAACCATGTTGATTAAACTGATGATGATGAGTGTTTGTTACAGTAACTCTCTAAGTATTTCTCTTTCTCACATACTCTTTCTTGCTTTTATCCTCTTTATTTATTTGTCCTTGCCTCAGTTTTTTTTTTTTTTTTAAATCTCCTTTACCCATACTCATCTTCTAAATGAAGTAGTCGCTCTCACTTTCCTCCTTCTCTTTATTCATGTTATTAGATTGAATGCTTAGGCTTGTCCTTGTCAAGTTTTTTTCCTGAAGCCCTTTTAATGTCTTCTACATATTTCTTCCTTTTTAAGTTTTCACACTCATAATGTATTTCTGCTAGTCTAACAGCAACTCTGTCTTCTCTCCCTCTTGTCTATTTATCCTGTATCATTACTAGGCGTGGCTGACTGAGATCCATGAGTACGCCCAACAGGATGTGGTGCTCATGCTGCTTGGAAACAAGGCAAGGCATTATTATATATTAATTAAATATTTGTGACTATAGGTAGATATACAGTATATTTAAGCAGTCAATACTATACAATATTTTAGGTTAAATGTCTCTCTGGCGCACAGTATTGAACAATATTGGCATTTATGTTTTGTCTAACTCTTAGTTTACTTATTCTTTGATTAGATGGTTCCAAAATTAAACAGTGATGAATTTATGGTATAAGGTATAAGGTATATTTTATATCTTTTTGTTAAATCTCATGAAATGATCAAAACTAACAATGAATTGATCCTACTAACAAGTAGTATCTCTGATATATCTTATTCCTCTGTGCACACAGAGCTCCATTGTTAAATTGTTAAATTATTAAAAACACATCAATGACCACACTGTTGCACTGGGTGACATGTTTCTTCATTACGATGTTTGAGCCAATGCCACACACCATAAATACTGACTAGAGCGCAAAATGTATATTAATCCACGGCTAAAAGTAGTCCCTAACAAATACACTATTGATTCTTATTTTAGTAATGTTAGCTAAAAAATACAGTGCCCAGCTGTTTCAGCAATTTCTTTATTTAAAGGCTTTTTAAGGATTTACATCCAATGGGCTTGGGGCTGAGAGCCACAGACAAAGTAGTATTAAGAAAGTATTGAGAGATGCACTTGATGCTCTGTTTCTGTCTGTATTTTCATAGGGTTTGTTGACAATAACAAAAGTATAGAATATCACCATCCTTTAAAGCTTCTTTTTATTCAGTAAAAATGTTTTCTGGCTCCTCAGTGTGAAGTATGGAAACAAATGTTGTTTTTGTATCCGAACCAAACCTCATGTGTTTTATTGGCATCAGTAATGATAACAACTACATTTAAGTCATTGGTGACTATTTGTTTGATAGACAAAATACAATTACTCTTGTCAGTTTCACACACACACATCTGACAAAATCTTAAACTGCTAATTTGCAAATCAGTGTTGCACATTTTTTTCCTAAAACTGCCATTCACATCCCTCCCTCTGAACAGAGAACAGATGTCTCTGCCTTGGAGCTCTGTCTAGTTTCAGTCCCCCACGCTCCATATCAGTCCTTAATTAGCACCCTGAGAGCCAATCTTGACTCATTAGCTGCCATCAGACCTGAACACCAGGAAAGGCTTGTGTGTAAACTGTGGACAAATAGCGAGCAAATCTCCTCTGTGGGTGGGTGGTTGTTGTGGTTTTAGCACGGATGTTGGTGCATGATGCTTGTCTGTGTGACCTTGTTTGTTCCTGTCTCACCAGGCTGATGCCACACATGAGAGGGTGGTGAAGAGAGAAGACGGTGAAAGGCTTGCAAAGGTTAATTATTGACACTTAATGAAAACATGTGCACAATTTTCTGTGTCCAGATGCCGCAGCTGTTACAATGAGAAGCTACACCCTGCATAATTCGTTTTAAACACATCTTTTTTTTTATTCTTTTGAAATCAAGGTCTTGTATGTGACAAATGAAGGCAATGATTTCTCATTTCATGTAATATTGCAGAGGTATTGGCATGGCTGATTGAATTTCTATGGCAGATGAGAAGATTATGAATATTACAGAAAGTTGGGATTATCTAGGGATCATTTTCATTTTCACTCTTGCTCTTATCTCACAGATTCCCTTCTACTCTGTGAGGAAAATGTACCACCTGCAAATTAAAAAAAACAAACAGATAAGACAAAGAAACACCAGACACCTCAGCTGTATCACACTACTGTAGATAATAAACATTTGATAACGATTACTTATTGTATAGATTCCTGCCTTCTATGTCACCATCCATAAAAGTTTTATGCTCCTGTGATATATCAGTGCAGGCACAAATACAACTACTAAGCACCGAAACAAGGAGCAAACATTTGTTTTTATCAATCTCCCTTACCGTTGCTTCACAGCATGACACACAAAAACTAATAGCAAACAGCCAGGCGATTCTCTCCAGAAGTGGGAGCAATAAAGTGCCACTAAGTAACTTAAGGTTCAGCCTGGGAGGGGAAAAAAGCACATCCATTACCATCACTGTGGGCTGAGACAAATTCCCCTGCAGAGGAAAAGCTGGGAGACAAATTTATCACATCTGAGCTGGATGTATCCAAAGTTCACTATTGTGCTGTGAAGTTCAGTTGTAAACTTCTGTATAGTTTTTATTCAATAGCCTTGATTTTTATTTACTTTTTATTTTTTGTAGCACATCAGAGAAGCAGCTTTCTGCTGAAAAGTGTTATCATACATTATCATACATAATGTTTGAGTTGTCTAAGCATAAATGAACATTTCCAAGAAATGTCATTGCTTTGCCTCTGCAGGAGTTTGGAGTTCCCTTCATGGAGACCAGCGCCAGGTCAGGTCTCAATGTAGAGCTGGCTTTCACTGCTGTGGCTAAGTGAGTATCATACTTTCTGAAAGTGTTGTGGATTGCTTTAATCAAGAGAAATGTCATTTAAATATATTTTAATACTTATTAACTAACTTATCGCATTAAAAATTATTCTCCCTCATTGGAAAATCCAGAATTTTTAAATATGCAAATATTTTTCATCTACAGCGAAGTAGGAGACTAGTGCCCAGTAAAGTCCATTGTCAGTTTATGCATGTTTAACCACAAACTAGATGTGAAAATCCTGCTCACATGTACACATCTTAAGGAAACCGGTGTGTAGGATTTAGTGCAGTACATGCAGATTGCAACTCCCTTGCTTCACCCTCCACTTTCAAGTGCAAAGCAGAAACTATGTTGGCTACTAAACATGCAAAACATGCATGTGGCCCTATCTAGAGCCAGTGTTTGGTTCGTCCATTTCTGTCAATAGATCTTTAATAGATTTTCTTAAATGTTACACACAGGACCTTTGAACCTTTAAATTTAAGATGAGCACAGACATAAATTCCCCCCTTCAGCAGATGAATCTGAAAAACCAGCCTTAACGGTGTCAAACTGCACCATAGGCATCATTCTGGCACCCAAGCTGAAGGTCAAACAGTCCAAGTACACAGTAAACAATAAGTTATACTAATACATCGAGTTATTTTCTCTCATATATATATATATATATATATATATATATATATAAGCTTTATGCTTAGATTACTAAATTAGTTTATGGAGTAACTTCAGTCATAAACTGATCTGTAGTGTTTATGGGGAGTGGGTCTGTCTTGGTTTAACCTCACCTTATCCTCTTCTTTTGTCTCAGGGAGCTGAAGCACCGGTCTATGAAGGATCCCAGTGAGAAGTTTAAGCTCCAGGAGTACGTAAACAAGGAGATGAAGAGCACAGGCTGCTGCAGGTCTTAAAGCCTGCCTTAGTCATTCTCTGGATCTGTGTGTGTGTGTATTTATGTGTGTGTGTGTGTGTGTGGATCATTCTTGTTTATACAGTAGGTGTTCATATCTGGCCTGATCAGAGGTGAGGAGTCAGCTCCAGCGAGGTATAAACCTTTTTGTCCTTGTTTTTCCGCTCTTAAACCTCCCCGTCTCCGTCCACACAACCGCCATCTGTCATCTTGCACTCCTTTCACTGCCCTACTCCATCTTGTGTGTCCTGCTTTTTCCTCACCCACCTCCTTTTGCAGCTGCGAATGTAGCCTCAGGTTATGGTTTGCAAAAGACAAAGCAATGTGCTGCTCACCTCAGTTATTAATCTATTAATGGACATTTTCTTCCATAACTGTAGCTGCATGATAATATTATAACCCCAGCATTGAATCGGACACCTTTGCATTACCTTGTGTGGTTATTTTATTGTGAAGGGACTTAATCACAACAGAAATTATGGTCTTTTGCAGACACAAGATTTATTTCTCACAGTCATTTAAAATGTTAATGACATTTGCCATTTTGTGATAAGCGCGTGGATGAATGTTCATATAATAGATGTACAGTGATGTGTTGTCTGTACATGGTTCAGTGTTCATGTCAGTAATTCAACAGGCTCTTTGCAGCCAGTTTAGCTCACCAGCATAAACTCAATCTAAGCATTTCCATGATTCAGCTGTGGATATTTGGGAATATGTATTACTACTTTTACATAAAAGTTCATATATGTTGCTATTGTGTATACAAGGATATTAAGTACAGAATAGCATCATTAGCCACAATACATGATTCTTTTAGTAGATTTGAATTCATGCTATATGCAAAAAAATGAAGAATACAGCAGTTTAAATAAACATTAGAAACATGGCAGTGCATGGGTTTTTTTCAATATTATAGGGTCAATGTTAAGTCTTGCTCTAATGCAACATCTCTTCTTGATAATATACATATACTTTTTTTATTGTTATTTAAACTTTATGTAATCTACACTGGGGTTTTGACAAACGTGATGTAAATACTTTTTTCTGCATGTAAAAAATAGTTTTGATGGAGAATAGCACTTTAAGATGGTAAATAAGAGCGTGCTAGGGAATAAAGACCTAGAGTATGTTGACAATGTTACCTAGAGTATTGTATATGACACACAGACGTGTATATTTCTCTTTTTCCTTTGAATGTTATATTTGTAGTCGAATGTGCAAATATTTGTTGGCTGCTTTATTTCTTGCTTTTTTGTTTTGCTTTTATTTTCCTTTCATAAATACATAAATAGGGTACATAGTGCCATGTTTTCTTAAAAACATATTTCTTATAATCTGTTACCAGTATTTAACCTGTTCTTCGTAAAAGAAGCATAGGCCTCTTTTTATATGACTGTTGTTTTGGTAGATTTCATCTTAGTCATAGAAACCATAAAAAACTGAATATCTCTGTACAGCATTTACTGTACGTTTTTTCAATCTTGATGTTCAGAGTAATGTATTGATTTGTGGTTTTACTACTTTTCAATGTGCAACTTCTTTCTTGTAACTGAAAGTTAACTACAATAAAAACAGAAGGTAATGTGGCTTTTACCCTTTTAATAGTGACCATATTTCAGAGTCACTTACACAAATTCTACTCCAACATGACTGTACAGTGAATTCAGAGCATGAGTTATAAAATAATGTGTGTGGCGGAGATTTAGGCAGATGCACGCTTACAGTGTTTGCTTGACCCTAGCTCTTCAAGTTTGAACAAAGGCACTGCTGCCTCATCATAATACTGCTCAAAAACATCTTTGTGCCTTTCTCTTCAGCACTTACACGAATAATTTAATGTGCACACCTGTCGTCACTGGTTTGATGAGGTTAATGAGCCCCTGGAGTTAGTTTAGGGAGTTTAAAACCTTTCCTTTGTCTCCCTCTGCTGGATAAATAATTATACCACATTAAAAGATATTTGAAATTTGTATAGTTTTGCAAAAACGAGAGACAAAGGAATGCAAGCCAATTTTTAAATGTGATGATAAACGTCACACAAAGCAATTTACATTCAGCTGCTTGAATATGTACAAAAAAGCAAAAATAGCTTATTATACCTGCAGTGCTTAACATAAATTTACAAGCTGCTTAAAGCATGGTAGACAGTTAAAAAAATAAATACATTAAGAATTAAATACCATGGTACTCATATGTGGAAATAAATGTGAATATGTGTGTGAATATCTGTAGACCATGTATTATTCCTTCTTACTGACATATTACAGTAAGTGTCAGATAATGTTTGTCTTAGTCTGCAGATAACTGGCCGGAAGGGCAAAATTTGTACACTTAGTTGAAATGCAAGGTTAATTCAGTTGTATTGAACATCCGAGTAATTAAGTATGTACAATAATATCTGAGCAGCAACACTTCTGATTCCTACAAACAAGTAACTTCGACACATTCAGGTCGAAGTTAACAAGTTGACTGACTTCTTTCAAGTATGTAAGTCGCATAACAGATGAGTGAGTTAGGGTAACATTCATGAGCTTAGGAGTGATTCGGACTTTCTATGAAATGGGTCTGGCACATAACATAGGTGAGGTTGAGCAGGATGGCAGGTAGAGTAAAGGGGTCACTGTGGTGACGGTAACTGTGGTCTCACCTTTTGGTCCTTTTTCTATCACCCTTAAGTTTTTATAAAGGCTCCCATTATGACATATCAAGTACATATCTGAGGTCCTCTTCCTCCTCCTCATTCTGCACCAACAGACAGTCATGGTTTGTGCTTGAAATAGGCCTCCACTGTGGAGAGAACAGAAAAAATATATATCCAACTGAAACATTAAGGGGGGAAAAAACTCAATAATGACTTTGCTGACTTGGGTGTTCAGTTTACCTGCATACTCCTGAGGCAGCATTGGTCTGTTAATAACAGTCTGAAATGCAGCGATCCAGTCTTTCTGATCCTCTTCAGTCTCACATGCAAATAGAAACTTCCTGTCCGGGGTCACTATGGTAATTCCAAACAGCCAATGGTAGCCCTGAATGTTCGGGGGGAGGCCGGGAAGCACAGTGTAGCTGTTTTCCTTACTACCAATGAACACCTCACCTCGTGCATAAGCATCCTGGAAGTGGAGGGGAAAACAAACAGATTAATCATCTCCTAAATTAAGTTATTGTGAATAACTATGTCATATTTCAGAGGAAACCACAAACCTGAAGGTCAAAATCTCCACTTTACAACAAATTGCATGCAAACTATGTGGATGGATAGCCATCTGTCTAAAGGAAATATTTTATACTGGGTTTTTAAATGCACTGTCCCATAGACAGAGAGACTGATGAACAGTAGAGAAAATGTCATAAAATGGCATAGCAACATCTGCAGTTCACAGTGTGTAACTACAGCAATTTCCACATGACGTTCAGCATTAATACCAGTGGATCTTTAAAGTACATGAGCCTCCTGTCATCCATAGTGAACCATCTCTTCTTGAAGCCCTCCGTGTGCTGTGGGACAGAAAGAGGAAAGAGACATGTGGCAGCAGCTTAATTCATACACCTATAACTGTCAAATAAATATATAACAATGTTATAGGCGTTGCATGTTTACCTAACTTATAAATCATGTTGTGGAAAAGTATTCTATCAACACAAATGTTGCAGAAAAACAAAAGTGCATTACCTTTGGACCAGTCTTTTCCATGTAACCCTCCTTTATGTAGTTCCTGGTTAGCTTTGGCAACAACTACACAGACAAAGAGCAAATACTTAGTCACTAATAAACTGTGTGTGTGTGTTCAATCATTTGACACCTTGTGTGCATGTACTCACTTCAGAGTTAGGAGCTCCAGGAAAAGCCACCTGCAGGTAGTGAAACCTGGCTGCTCTGATGGCATTGAACCAGTCCACCATTTCCTTCAAGACAAGAAAATGAGGAAGTTCACTGACTGACTCTTACTGCAATATCATCTCCTCACACACATTATCGGCCCTGAGGGTCCCAAATTACCTCTAGCACTACACACAGCACTCATAACTAGATGAAATGGCTTTTCTAAATGGCAGATATACTAGAAATGCCATTTGAAAAGCTCTGAACCCAAGGGAGATGTCTCACAGTGTTAGTTCTTCTGCTGTGTGAGTTTTGTGAAGCCGTTAGCATACAAGTACACTTCTATACACGCTGACTTGTAATGACAAACCATTTACACCAGAGGGACACATGCTCCTGCTCTTTTTTCCCCACCACAAAAAGCCCCAAACCTCACCTTTCCATCCTCATGGTAAACAAAGATATTCCTAGTGCTGTTGTCCTTTAAATAGGTTATCTGCAAGCCGTGGGCAGTGCCGATTTTTGTTGGCTGGAACGTGGCATTCACAGTATTGATCTTCATAATCGCTTTGGGCTCTCTGGCCTTCAGAAAGGAAAGATATTTTTTAAAAGAGAGAGAGTCAGTGGTCTAGTCTTTATTCTCCACACCTCCTTTTTGAAGTCCTCAATCAGTTTTTCCTCACCACTAACAAAGGCAGTTTTAACACTGGGATCATGAGACCAAGTACAGATTGAGAAAAAGATAGAAAGAGGGAGAAAACACACACTCACATCATGCTTGTTGAAGTACTTCAAAACACCTTCCCGTTCAGATAGAATAAATTTTCGACTGAGGTACTGCCCATTGTCTCTTCCTCGTTTCCATAGAAACCCCTCTCTGTAGCCTGCCAGGAGGGGAGCCACAAGGGTCCAGGAGCAGGAATACAGAAAAGAGAAAACAGAAGAAAGACACAACAGACTTCTAAGAAAATACTAAATACATACACATAAAATCTAAAACAGACATGTACAGAGGAGTAATTCACAAAGTGACTATTGGGGATCATCAAGCAATTAATCAACTTGATTTAGAAAACTTAAAGCTGCATGAGTAGATTTCTTGGCCAGTTGGGGGTTGTAAATGCAACACAAATGTAAATAAAGTTGACATGGCAAACCTGTTAGCAAGTTATTTACACATCCAGCAGAGCAACATTAGC